TAGATGGAAAGAAACCAGTAGAGGCTTTCCTGCCACCTCATGATCTCAACAAAGCAGGGAGCAAGAAAACCTGGCCCTGTTGGCTACTATTGTGCCTTCTGCCAGCTTCAGCTGGTACATCCTTCCTGGTTATCTATGCCTTGGCAGTGTCCATTTTCAGCTAATCAACTGTTACATTTGAGTGGTTTTTGAAGGCTTCATGAAGTTGTTAGTACAGCCTCCAGGTTTTAGGCTATTAACCAGGCATTGCCAAGGTCAGCATATTTCACCAGGATTTATGAAGAGCTTTAAAGTGCCAGTTGTAGTGGTTTCTTTCTGGGAACAACTCAAGGTGGTGTTTTAACCAGTTTAGGATTCTGGAGAATCTCAAAGATGGTCTGTTCCTATATGAATCTGCCTATATAAGGCGATCTGCTAAAATCAGTACAGATCCAAGACAGTTTAGTGTTAGGGCTAACACTTTAAAAAGTCCGGCTGTGCCATTATCCCTTGCTTCAACTTGCTGAATGGAGGCCCAGCCATGACTGAATCTCTTCTGTCTGCCCCCTAGGCAGGCCATGGAAGAAAAGATTTTGTCTGGAAAGCCTTCCTGCCTCCATTTGCCAAATACCAATGTTGTTGAGCACCAGTTTTAAAACTTTTGGAGCATCTTTTCCCTTTAGCTGCTTATGTGTATATTTATGATGTGAGCTGCTGTAGATGCCTGGTGAATTAGAATAAGGCGATGTGACATTTCAAGCAGGTGGTCTTTATTTTAGTAAAGCTTTTGACAAAGTCCCCCTTGGTATTCTTGCAAAGAAGCTGATAAAATGTGGGCTGGACAAGGTAACTGTTAGGAGGGTTTGTAGCTGGACCAAACCGTAAGTGCTCACAAATGGTTCCTCCTCTTCCTGGAAGAAAGTGACAAGTGAGATGGTACAGAGTTCTGTCCTGGGCCTGTTGTCTTTATAAACAACTTGAAATAAATTGAGGGGATGCTCATCAAATTTGCCGATGACACCAAACTGCGAGGGATAGCTAGTGCCGCAGAAAATAATCTGAATACAAGATGACCTTAACAGATTGGAGAACTGGGCCCAAACAAAATGAATTTCAATACGGAAAAATTTAAGGCTCTATACTAATGTACTACTGGCAAGCCAGGTGTCCCCTGTGAAAAGGATCTATGGGTGAGTGGACCACAAACTTAACATGAATCAACAGTGTGATGCAGCAGCAAAAGAGAGAATGTTATTCTAGGCTGCATCAACAGAAGTATAGTGTCCAGATCAAAGCAAGTATTTATTTGATTTATTGAATTTATAATATTAAATTGCAAGTAATAATCCCGTTCTATTCAGCCTTGATCATACCACACCTGGAGCCCTGTGTCCAGTTTTGGGTGCCAGTTTTAAGGATATTGACAATCTGGGTTGTGTGCAGAGGGCAACCAAGACCATAAAGGGTCTGGAAACCAAGACACATGAGGAACGGTTGAAGGAGCTGGGTATGTTTAGCCTGGAAAAAGAGAAGACTGAGAGAGATGATAGCCATCTTCAAGTATCTAGAGTTGTCACATGGAGGATGGAGCAAGCTTGTTTTCTCCTGCTCTGGACGCTAGGACCCAAATCAATGGATTCAAGTTCCAACTAAACATCAGGAAGAACTTTGTGACAGTAAGAGCTGTTCAACAGTCAGTGCAAGATGTTGGTGGTGCTGGGTAGGTAACTGAAGGCCGTTAACATAATTAGCAGCTGAATCCCTTTTCAAAAGTTAACAGCAGGCATATGGACCTGCACAGCCTACCCACTCTCACCTTTTTCCAGGGGGAAAAGAACACCCATTCACACAAATAAGTTTCTCTCCTGCCCAACCCAATGAAAATAGAAGTATGGAAGCCCCAGTCTGAACCAGGACCAGCAGGGCAGAGGGTTTAAAAGGCTAGTCTCCAACCTACCCATACAGCCACACCATACCCTTCAAGTTTCTTTATAAAAAGTGTCATTTCTGCAGTTGTAAAATTTACGAGTGTTGTTTACTTGGACCATGTTTCTACAAACCTCACATCTTTACCTAAAAACATGCAAACTAGGATCAACCCAGAAGTCCCCTGGGCATCCACATGACTCTAGGAATGGAAGAAAAGTAGAAGTGACCATTCCACTATTTGGCCCGGCTGCTGGTATATGAAGGTAGACTCCCTCTGAACACGGATGCTCTAGGAGGTAGCATGGCTAGCAACTCTTCCTTGGCCAGTTCCAGATGCTTTGCTTTTTTCACATGTTTTGTAGTAGCCATCACCCGCATTGTGTGTGCAGTATGCACTCTAGAAGTGAATAGTTCATTCTAATTACAGCCTTCATCAAAGTGCCGGCTTTACTTGCCCTGGTCTGCAGTTTGGCCACACACTTCCTGTGCACTTTAAAAGCAGCAATCTGTTCCACGAAACAAAAGGGATGTTTTTCTGTATTCCTGCTAAACAAGCTACAGACACCTGCACAAAAGTCATCTTCTAGATGTCCACCTGCCATGAATGTGCCATTTTGGACAAGGTAAGATGTGAAGAACTCCACAGGCTGTTTAAATAGACAAGCACTTTCCCAGAACATACTACAATGGTACTTTGGGTTACAGACGCTTCAGGTTACAGACTCCGCTAACCCAGAAATAATTCCTCGGGCTAAGAACTTTGCTTCAGGATGAGAACAGAAATCGTGCTCCGCCGGCACAGCAGCAGGGGAGGCCCCATTAGCTAAAGTGGTGCTTCAGGTTAATAACAGTTTCAGGTTAAGAACCGACCTCCAGAACGAATTAAGTTCTTAACCAGAGGTACACTGTGTGTATTAAAAATTCGGGGTTAATTATAGAATTGGAAGAGACCACGAGGGTTATCTAGTCCAACTCCTTGCAATACAGGAAACCGCATTCCCATGAGCTCTGGTTTCCATCAGTATTCCATTGCACCAGAAGCAGTTTAGCCATGTTGGCCACATGACCCAGAAAGCTGTCTTTGGACCAACGCCGGCTCCCTCAGCCTGAAAGTGAGATGAGCACCACACCCCATTAGTAACTGGACTTAACTGTCCAGGGGTCCTTTGCCTTACCTTAATACAGGAATCTTTTTGCCCAGCATGCGGCTTGAACCCATGTCCCTAAGATAAGAGTCTCATGTGTTGAGCTATGGTGGGGTGCACTGTTGGTATTCTCCCTTTCCAATATATGAGCAAACAAGATAATTCTCAGCCCTGCAAGTTATTGTATGACCCTGGGACTCTCCATTACTTTAGCTTATGTACTTTGCAGGTTGCAAAGGTTATGTAGAAATTTGAGGGGATGGGCATTGGAGAAGAACTTGAACTGCTACATTAGATTACTAGAGGAACACACCAGTTAAACACCTCTAAGTACACTTTTGTGGCATTCTTGCATATGCAACAAGGCCACGAAACTAAAAGAAAAACAAAACTGAAGCAAATTAGAAGGGGGAAACAGCTGCATGAATAAGCCTCTCTCTCAAAAGGATATTAGAATTGGCAGTGTCCTCCATTTACTATATTTGACACACACCCTGTTTTTTTGATTTGAACAGGTTGGTTTTAGATCTCATTTCAAAACAAGCTGTTCCAAAAAATTTTACATACTGCCCAGAAAGCAGGAATACAGTATACGTAGCCCCATAGCAAATCTGAAAAATATTAACAGCTGCAGTGGTTAATGAAATACACACAGCTATTGTGCTGTGAAGCTTGTTTCTCTAGTCTATTGCAACCCATTTTTAGGTAGTTTTTGTCACACCAAACAGCTATACAGTTAAGTACCCATCCAGTTTGCCGCCTTCACTTTAAGACTCTTGCTCTCCATCATACAGCAAAGGCAGCTGAAGCATTACAATGGCCGTTAAGAGACATCTCTGCCTGATCATGTAGGATGACTTAAAATGGCTGCCATGCTGACTACACAACATGGGTGATGCTGGCTTATAAAGAGTGCCTCCACCAGGCTGCTTCCCTCTTCCAGAGGAGCAAAGCTCTAATCATTCGTACTCAAGAGCAGGGTCCCCGAGAATGTAGGCAGAGGATAAATATCCAACCCCCCTTTTTTTACTCACCTGTAAGCTACCTGAGGCACCAGAGCTCCATCAAAGCTTGACTTCTGTTAGATGGTCACTGCTATTATTGGCCCAACAGCAAGTAATATGGACAGTTTTATCAGTAGGTAGACATCACTCAAGGTGTGGCACCCATCAGCATTTGCAAATTCAATATTTAATGTAGATACTGAAGCCATGTTCTGTTTGCTTTGGGGCAGGGAGAAGGGGAAGATATAGGTATGTATAGCATCAAAACATACCTAGCTTGCATCAAGGAGGGGAGGGGAGCCATTAACATGACATTTGACCTCCCAATCGAGTAAGGCAGCATGACAAGGTGAAGTTATTTCTTACCTGCTAAGCAGGGAAGGGGGGGGGACACCACAAATTCATTGCAGGCCAGAAAGGGAGAGTTTAACAGTATTTGGGGGCTGCTCAATACACTGAAATTAACAAAGTGGCTATAGCAGATCCTTCAAATATATAAAACAGCGCCTCTAGACATCTCCCCACTAGGCAGACTGCTGATCTTCCTTCCAAGACTAAGCCAAGTCTTGGGGGTTAGGATTCCTCCCCTTCAGAAAATGAACTTTGTGCGCCTTTTGTGTACTATTCCCACAGGGATACTGGCACATTAAGACACCCAGGATGCAAGCCTAGGCACTCTCACCCCCAATTTGCAAACTACTTCTGGAGTGGGTGAGACCAACACCCAGCACTTGTATATGCAACTTGCAGATCCATACTTTGGAAAATGTGAAGAATGAACGAATGTAGGTAAAGGGTGTATTCCACACCCACCACTGACTGAGGAATCCCAATAAGGGATTTGGGAGCTTAGCAAGTAAAAATTCTAGTTTTGTGTCAACAGCAATTTGACAGCACTCCTGAATAGACAGCCAGCATTCCTCAGATAAGAAGGACCCAAGTCTAATCCATAAAGGGGTCACCATTTATTCCTTTCAAATGTTACAATAAGACCCATACAACTTTTTTTTTTCATTTAGGAGTTAGAAAATTGCAGATCAGAAGTTGGGTCATTAAAAAATTATTTACAAAGACAATGAAACAAAAAACTGAAGTCACAGCATACAGCCAGCACTCTCCCTCACCCCCTGCCCCCCCACCCAAGTGCCCCCCCTAAATAAACCCCAAAGAAGTTCTCCCTCTGAAGTCAAATTAAACACAGTGGACTTACAAGCTTTATAGTTTAAAGCCAAGAGCAAGACATTATAAAAAACTAACCAGATTAGCTTTTAAACTGTTGGTTTCTATAAAAAGCACAAAATACTTTTAAATGAAGTCAGAACCAGGAATGTAAACCAAGAAGAGATAAAAGAGAATATCCGTTTTGAAGAACGGTCAGTTGCTGGTTTATTGGACTCCTTTTCTTTTTGAAAAAGCTGCTTTGAGGATTAGTAGAAACAGAAGATCAGAGAGAGACCAGAACCCGGTGTTAATATCTGGAGTCTCATTAAACTGAGCAAATTTCCAGTTGCATCCAGGAACAGTATTTCCTCCGTAAGAGTTTCAGAAGGATCTTAAGAACGCCTACTCCTGAGTGGTAGCGGTGGCTGTGCTGGGCACCAAGGATACAAGTTGGTTTTTTGCTTAACTGTGTTGGATGAAGAGTGAGAAAAGGGGGAGGGGGACACTGGAGTGAAAGCTTGTCAGTTCTACGCCGAGAGACTTGTGTTTGTGGCATTGTGTGTGGTGTGTGTTGTGTGAACAAGGCAGCAGTTCCAAAGGGGTTACTGGGGATGAGAAGGATGGCACAAATAAGTCTCTTTTTTTCTTTTTCTTTTTAAGTTAGGTGGACATCGTTAAGCTGCCTCTACTCTTCCTTCTGCTCAGCAGGTGCAGGACTGGGCTCCGCCTCTGCTGGTTTTGAGGTCTCTCCTGGCTTCGTGTCCTCCTGGCTCTCGCTGGGTGGCGGCTGCTGCTGCTTCTCTTCCTCCTCCTCTGGTCCTTCACTTGCCACTTCTCTCTTGCTCTCCGCTTCCTGCTGGCCCTCAGGGGCGGCCGCCGTAGCAGCCGGCTCAACTGGGGCGGCCGGCTTCTCTTCGGGGCTCTCCTCTTTGGTGGCGGCCTCCTGCTCCGACTCCCCTGCAGCACACGCCAGGTTCTCCTCCCCCTTGGCCTCCGCCTTGCCTTGCTCCTCGCTGGGGGAGGACACGGCCGAAGCATCTCCCGCTTCCTTCTTGGTCTTCCGGAAGGAGATGCCGCTCAGCTTGAAAGACTTCTTAAAAGAGAACTTCTTCTTCTTCTTGGGGGTCTCTTTGGGAGCTGCGGCCGAATCCGTGGCCCCGTCTGCTGGCTTGGCTTCGGCGCCTTCGGTGACGGGGGCCGGCTCGATGGCATCACCGCTGCCCGCTTCTAACTTGGCTTCCTCCTTGACCGGCTCCGCGGATCCGTTTCCGTTGAGCGGGGTGGCTTCTCCGTCAGCTTTGGGAGACACGTCCCCGTTGATCTTCACGTGGCCGTTCTCCTGATGGGAGAAGACAGAACTCGCTGTTTTTACAGGTCTCAAGCCAGGTTGCAAAAGGCATTTTATTCAAGGAAGCTAAACCACTAAACCTCAATGAGAATTGCAGGAAAACCAACCAACCACCACCGCAGCACTGCCAGGCAAGGCAATCCTAAGGTTACACAGCCTCCCTCCCACTTTTTGGCGTTTCTTGCACATGCTTCAGGGACACATCCAAGTTGCAGGTAACCAGAGTGCCCCTGATGCGGAGAATGTAGGACGGAGCCTTGTAGGACAGAGTAAGCCCTGTTTAGGTCACCCTTTACAGGAGACCCCCCAAATACTAGTTGCTGAAGGAGAGCAGGAGAGGGAGACTGTGCTGCTTGTGGGCTTCCTGCAAGCCACAGTGGGTGCTGTCAAGGTGGTACCCTTGCCTGATCCAGGAGAGGCTCTTCTATTCTTAACGGCAAGAATAAAAATGCTTTGGATCTGTTTGCTAAAAGCCTAGTGGTCCCTGCTGTTGGCATACCCAAAAGGAGCCACCTTCTATAAACTGAATTCCGTTCCTCTGCACCGCCCCCCCTCCAGCAATTTCTCCATAAACACGGGGTAGGGTACATTTCAAGGCGTCCCCCCTCTCAATGCTCTCTGCGATTTGTTAGGATCCAGCCGCCTATTTGAATGGCAGTGCAGAGAAGCAGGAGGGGGGCACAGAATAGAAAGAACCCCATTCTACGCTACCACAAGGTGGCGCCCGCGCTCCAACAGCTTCTAGGGGCGCCCCGTGCGCGGTTGCAGAGGAGGGTGGGGGAAAGAGACGAGCGCCCGCGGGAAGCTCGCCTCGACGCAGGCAGCCAAACGCGCTCGGGGCGGCGGACGGACTACGAATCGGGAATTCCCACCCCATTCGGGAAATTGGCCCGCTGCAGTTTTGCTTTCCAGGCATGATGTTATAAAAAGCCCCTTGGATTTCTCCCTCTGACGGTGTTTGGGGAGAGACCATGGGGCGCGTCGGCGAAGCCCATTTCGGGGCTCGCCCGCGCCCCACGACTGCACAGAGCAGTTCCTACCCCCTCGTACAAAAAGGCTCCTCTGTGCACGTTCTACTCCAAAATCTGGGTCCCACCCGAGTCCAAAGGTGGCGCGGCGACGCCTTTTTCCAGATCTCAGCTTTGCACTAAGAGCGCGCGAGCACGTCTATGTGCACCCTAGTCCGGCCTTTATTTTGCAAAATGCAAAAAAGGCTAGCAACCGCTTTGCTTTGCAAAATGCAAAAAGATTCGCGGCTTTTTTTTACACCCCCCCCCCCAAATATGGCACGTGCTAAGCACAATATATTAAGTAAGCGATCTTCTCTGCTCTTCACCCCACCCCTGCCACAAAATGAAGCCCCTCATCGGCGAGGGTTTTTCTGCCCCTCGATCCGAGTTATGCGGCGCGGCACAGCGCAGCCCCCTCCCCTCCCCCTGCCGCGGGTCGAGCCAGCCGGGTCCTTCCTTTGTTTCCTCTGCAAACAGCCCAGCCGCAGCCGAGCGAGCGAAGGAGGGAGGAGGGGAGGGTCTCCGCTCCTTTCGCCGAGGAGGGAGCGCCAAACAAAGGCGGACCACGGCGCCACTGTCTCCAACGGATTGGGGGGGGGCGCGGGAGAAAGCGTAAAGAGGGGCGCTGCTGCGCGGATCAGAACAGAGCTATAATTTTTTTTAAATCTCCTTTTAAGCGAGGCGGTCGCAACTGAGCCCATTCAACGAGCGTGGCGGTTCAACGAGTTAAAAGCTGCTCGGAAATTCAAAACGCGCGTCCGGGGAAAGCGCACGGCAGCCAGCGCGAAAATAAAAGCGTCCACGAGAACGTGGCGCGGGCGGCCGTTCCTTCGAAGCCCAAAATCCGGATCGGTGCGATTGGGGAGTGGGGAGCGCAGGGAAGAGATCGAGTGTGACTATCTCTTCCCCCCTCCCCCGAGTTTCAGCCTAGACAATGGCATGCGGGGGGGGGATCTCTAAGGAGGCTGTTGGCCCCGTCCAGGGCGCGTTAAGCTGAGGATCCAGCGCAGGGGCGAAGAAGGAGACCCACCTGGCCGTTGGCCTTGGAGGGCGAGGCGTCCGCGGCGGCGGCGGCATCCTGGGCCATCACGTCCCCCTTGGCGGCTTTCGAGCTGTGGCTCCCCATGGCTGCTGCGGAGCGAGGCGAGTCACACCCGAAGACGGCTCCGAAGTAACAATAATCCCAGGACGGAAGGGCGGGCGCTGGGCAGGAGCCCCGGGCGCGCCTTTGGCCAAGGCTCCCCCCGAGAGGAAAGAGCGCCCCCGGGAGGAGGAGGAGGAGGAGCTGGGATCGGGTCCGACGGCTGCGGCGCACCCCCCTCGCTGTGCCCACTCCGGCTGTGCGCGACCGAGCGACCACCTCTGCCGCCCGCCTCGTCGAAGCTGCGCTGCTTGAACTGCCGAGGCTGCGCCAAAGCGGCGGCTAATAAGAGCGCCCGGGCGGGGGGAGGCGGGGCCGGGCATTTAAACCCCCGCCCAATGGGAGGCAGAGCCAGGCCTGGGGAGGGGTCTCTCCCGCTGGTGAGGAAGCGCTGGCGAGCGGCAGGGAGTGGCACGGCTGGGCAAGGGGAGACCCTGGCCCGGGGGAGCATAAGCCAAAGGGGATCGCCGCCGGGGGGGGCCCGGTCTGGCACGTGGAGGGCGGTGGTCGGGGTGGGGCGGGCGGGGAGTTTTTATTGGCCAGCCTCTGGATGTTGGATGGATGTCATGGTAACCTTGGGAGTCGTGGCGAACAAGAGTGCGCCTGAGCGAGTGCAGAGCGCACCTCGCTCCTCACAGCAGGTGGACAAGAAGTGCTCTCCAGGTGTTTGTGAACTGCAGCTAGGACTGGTGGGAATGACTGCAGCCTGAAACGTCTGGATGCTTCTGGATCGCCTGAGTTGGAGGAGTCAGTTCCAAAGGGCTGCACTGGATCACTGCTGCTGCTCTGTCCCTTGGGTTTGGGCTCCATCTAAAATGAAGCCAAAAGCCCATTGAGTACAGCATTGTATCCTCAAAGCAGCTGCAGGACCAGAGTGCAGCAGCAGCAGCAGCACTTCCCACTTGTGATGTCCAGCAATTAGGGTATTCAGAGGCATCCTCCTCCCAGTAAAGGTGGCCATCCAACCTCTGCTTAAAAGCCTCCAAGGAAGAAGAGTCCACCTCCCTCTGGAGCAAAAGGAAATGAGCTTGGTCCACCTTCCACATGACAGCCCTATAGATATTTGAAGATGGCTCTCCTATTGCCTCTCACTCTTCTCCTTCCAGGATGGACATACTCATTTCCCTCATCTGTTCCTCATAAAGCTTGGTTTCCAAGACACTTTATGTTCTTGGTTACCCTTTGCACACGTTCTAGTTTGTCAATATCCTCCTTAAATTGTGGTGCCCAGAACTGTGGGAGTTATTTATATTATACATACCCCACCTTTCTCCCTGACAGGACTCAAGGTGGCTTAAAACAAGAATCGCTAAAAACATAGAAAAATCAAATAATGAAAAAACAACAAAACACTGATAGAATTAAAAACTATATACATATACAAAATAGGTTTAAACCATACAAATAGTTGAAAACAGCACGGCACCAGCCCTTTAACTAAAGCAGTCAATTCCCCAAAACCTGTTGGAACAACAAAGTTTTCACCTGCTGGCAGAAGGACAACAAAGAGGGAGGCGGCCTATTTTTTCTAGGAAGTCTGGCCAAAGTCTGGCAGCAGAAACTGAGAAGGTCCTCTCCCATGTCCCTACCAAGAGAAGGGCCTCCCCTGAAGATCTCAAAACCTGGGCAGGTTTGGATGAGGGAGTGTAGTCTTTCCAATAGCTTGGACCTAAGCTGTGTAGGACTTTATAAGCCATAACCAGCACTTTGAATTGTGCCCAGAAACAGACCCGTAGCCAGTGGAGCTGCTCTATTAAGAGAGTCCTATACTTCCCATAACTAGCCCCAGGCAACAATATGGCTGCAGCTAATTGAGTTGAAGTTTCCGAGTTCATTTCGAAGGCAGCCTTGTGTAGCACATGCTACAGTAATCCAAGCAGGATGTAGCTAAGGCATGTCTCACTGTGGCCAAATCAGAAACAAATCCAGAACGGGGGCAGCGGGCGCACTAGCTTTAATTGTGCAAATGCACGGCTGGCCACCACAGGGACCCGGGCATCCATGCTCAGGGCTGAGTCCAGGAACATCTCCAAACTGCAAGGCTGTGTTTTCAGAGGAAGCGTTACTGCATCTAGCGCAAGCTGAGTCCCTGTTCCCTCTGTCTTGTCAGCGTTAAGTTTCAATCTGTTCAGCCTCATCCAGTCCATTCCTGAGGATAGACACCGGTTTAGAACCGAGATGGCTTCCTTGAATTTTCATAGAAAGGAAAAATAGAACTGAGTGTCATCAGCGTACTGGTGGCATCCAACCCCGAAACTCCAGACAGCCTCTCCCAGTGGTTTCATGTAAACGTTAAACAGCATGGGGGACAGAACCAAACCCTGAGGGACCCCACGGGCCAATGGCTAAGGCATTGAACAGGAGCCCCCCATCATCACCACCTGGGTTCAGCACTCCAGGAAGGAACAGAGCCACTGTAGAACAATGATTCTAAGTCCCATCCCAGCAAGGTGGCCCAGAAGGATACCACAGCAGAACCAATAGGAACACACCCCCCTGTCCAGTTCTCAGTGTAAGTCATTCACCGAGGCGACCCAAGCCGTCTCTGGGTTCATCATAGGAGCCGAGGGGTCTTTGACCCCCCAATAAAATATTTGAGGGGGCAGCGGGGCCCCAAGTTGAAGGGCTTTCCCATTCAAATGGTGTGCGTGCACTGCGTCATGCGATTGATTATGCAGGGCAGCGCTTACCTCAATATTTTATTCAAGTTAGCACCCCTGGGGCTCATCTTGTCCCACTTCTTTCCCCTGGTTGTGGGGGGCAGGGAGAGAACCACTCTTTAGCACTCACATGGCAATTCGGGTTTTCTCTGGATTTACATCTGGAAGAACTTGTGGGTTTTCCCTGGGAAAGGAGTGGGGTGAAGGGAGAACCGCTCAGACCCCTGTTTTCTAGGCACGGGACATGCAGAAGTGTGGATGATCCCTCAGTCCCATAGCCAGGCCTGAAACCTAATTGAAATGGGTTGAGATAATCAGCTTTCTCCAGAAACCCCTGGAGCTGAGATGTTTCATGCAGTTTTGGGCTTAAGGGAGTCCCATGGTGAGTGGTCATCGCCGCACAGTAAGACAGGCCATCTTCAGGGGCCCATTCCATCAGGTGTCCCTGGCTTCCCACAGTGGGTGGCGATGGGAGGGGGGATGTCTGTGAAAAGCTCTTCCCCGTCAAGGGTTACCTGGCAGCAGCCTCAATGTGCATTTCATCTTTACATTTATACCCTGCCTTTCTTTCCAGGATCTCAGGGCAGCGGACATTCCTTTCCTCCTCTATTTTATCTTTGCAACCACCCTGTGAAAGAGACAGTGACTGATCCAATATCATCTTGTGTGCTTCTTGGCTGAGCAGACATATGAACCCGGGTGGGACCTTCCCACTCCTGGTCATAACCTTTTTATTGTTTCAGTGCTGCTGTTTTATTCCTCGGTTGTTTTAGTCACTGTGTTATTGTTGCTTTAGATTTTATCGTCTATTGCTTTGTCAGCCATCCAGGAAATATTCTTTACTCTGAAAAAGAGCCCAAATTATCAAAATGAATTTCATTGGGGGAAAATGTAAGGTTCTGCATTTGGGCAGGCAGAACCAGATGCACAAATATAGGATGGGAGACACCTGGATTGCCAGTAGTACATGTGAAAAGGATCTAGAGGTCTTGGTGGACCACAAGCTTAACATGAGTCAATAGTGTGATGCAGCAGCAAAAAAGCTAATGCTTTTCTAGGTTGCATCAACAGAAGTCTCATGTACAGATCAAGGAAAGTAATAGTACCACTTTGTTCTGCCTTGGTCAGACCACACCAGAAATACTGTGTCCCTTTAACAAGGATATTGACAAGCTGTAACATGTGCAGAGGAGGGTGACCAAGGTGATCAAGGGTCAGGAAAGCAAACCTTATGAGGAACAGTTGAAGGAGTTGTCATGTTTACCCTGGAAAAGAGGAGACTGATAGGGAATATGAGCCAATGAATTCAGGTTATAGGAAAGGCGATCTGGAAGAACTTTCTGATAGTAAGAGATGTTCAATTGCACAATGGACTCCCTCAGAAGGTGACAGACTCTCCTTTAAGTGGGTTTTTAAGCAGAGGTTGGATGGCCATCTGTCATGGATGCTTTAGTTGAGATTCCTGTATTGCAGGGGGTTGGACTAGATGACCCTTGGGTCCCTTCCAACTCTAAGATGAAAATGAAAGAGCTGGGTGTCACCTGAAAACATGGGAAGATGGTGCCACATGCTAAAGTTGCACTAGGTGACCTTTTCCAACTCTGCAATTCTGTGATTCTATGATCCTATATCAATTTATGGATGTAAGAACATCTATTCCAGCATCCTGTTCTCACAGTGGCCACCCAGATGCCCACATGCGGAGCCCAGAAGTAGGTCCTGAGCCTAAAAGTCCCCTTCATCTCCCAGAGCTACATTTATTATTCACAGAGAACCATGAAGACTGTAGCTCTGTATTACAATTCTCAGTACCCTTAACAAGCTACCCTTCCCAGAATTCTTTGGGGGGAGCCATGTTTGATTAAAGTGGTATCATAGTCTTTAAATGTTTGGTGTGAACATAGCCATAGTTTGAGATATCGAGACAATTCCTTTTTTCTTTTTTTCTTTACCCTGGAATGTGTGAGAAGCATAGACCCTCACAAAAGTTTTAGGCTTGGCACATATCTGCACTTGGAGAAGATGGAGAACGTGATCTAATGCATGGTTCGGCTGATTAATTCACTAGTGGAAATGGATTAAAGGCCAAGGACTACCTGATACATTGCAACATCCCTGCCTCTTCCCTTTGGTGAGTGAGATTGACAACATTCTCTCCCCTCCTGCTAGAGCTCTGCAGGCATCTCTTAGGTCCTCAGCGCCATGTGTGAATCTTCTCAGGGATCAAGGGAAGCCCCTGAAACGGCGGTCAATAGCTGTTGTGCTTGATTCAGGCACATGACCATGTTTTGTGTTTCCTTCTGAAGTAGAACTATCTCTCTTGATTTAATTAAGAACCTAAGAAGGTTCTTCAGGCCAGTGACCTATCTACTTCAGCATCCTGTTCTCAGTGGCCAACCAAATGCCTGTGGAGAACCAGCAAGCAAGACCTGAACATAAGAGCACTCTCCCCTCTTGTGGTTTCCAGCAAACAAGCAGCGCATGGCTAGCAGTTCCTGATAGCCTCATCCTCCCTGAATCTGCCCATTCCCCTTTCAAAGCCATCTAAGTTGGCGGCCATCGCTGCCTCCTGCAGGAGTG